TTACCCTGAAATTTTGGGATGTTACACTCACCTACTTTAATGTTATAAGGAAGGTTCTAGGCGGTCTCTTCGATCCCTAATAATGTTGAATTTTAAGTAGCATTTAGTGCTCACCACCCTCATTGACTTCTCTCATCCTAAGTAGAGTTACCGAAATGGTTTGATAGGACAATAGTGCAAAGTTAAAAATATTAACTTAATAAGTAATAAAACAAAATCTCATTTTATAAGAATGTGAATCTTATGCTTCCCATGGAAACTACGTCTTGTTGTATATTCTTTTTGGCGTATGCGTGTGTAGTTTACTGTCACGTCAAACGAGAATATAGTCGAAGAAAGGTATATGATAATCGCGATTCTCAATCCTTACTTGAGCCGAATATCATTGTAACTTTGCATGGTCGATTCACCATTTTGATTCATGATCCTCGGCTAATCCAATCATGAATGTTAAATGAGCATTAGAAGAGATTATTAACATGCTGTTGAGATAACTCAATAAATCTCGTTTTCTAAGAATCTCATAGAGATTGAGATTCCACCTAAATAACTTCATTGTGTAATTTTCGGCTAATCCACTTTACATCGTGAATCCAGATATAGATTCTAGCCTTTTAATAAATAATTTAATATTTGGTAATTATCTTAAAAGGATTTCTTGTTCAAACTAATCATGTTTCTTTTTCTTAATAGATGGCTCCTAGTTCGAGTGATTGTAAGACTATGGTTGAATCATAGCATTCACATAGTGTTTAAATGCACCCTAGGGTTGGGCCCACTGATATATATGGTATGTGGTATTTTGGGGAACTCACTAAGTTTTGTGCTTATAGTTTTGTGGTTTAAACATTTCATGGTTTAAACATTTCAGGTACTTCTGGTTCCAAAGGGAAGGGTCCTATGTGATCACAATGCATCCCCTGGAGTTTATTTTCGTATTATATGTTTTGATTTACTCTGATATTTAGAATACATTTAAACATTGGTTGGCGTTTGAACAGATGATTGTCTCATTTTTGGTGGTTTGAAAATGAAAATTTTACTAATATTTTTGGGATGTTACAATTCCCCCACAAAATCAAGTGTGCTGAAGGAGTGAAAGGGCGGTTGAGAATCTTACTCTTTGCTCAGATTACTTCACACTAGTTCCAAGCTGCTTAAAAAAATAGATTATGACGATACATGTTGGCTACGTAAGTGCTTGCTCAAACCGGAGAAACTAAAAAAGTCTTTATGTCATCACATTAAAAGTATGGTGGTTTGGTTTTGGATTTGCCTTGCAATCGCTAGGGTCCAACTACCCTATTCCAGATTTGAGAATGCCATGTGCTACTGTATGTCCTAGAATTACTTAATATATTATATATTTGGGAATCTTTTAACTGGTGGATGTGTTTCTTACCTTTCTACAATCTTACAGAATTGTTAGGCTATTTACATCTTAAATATACATCATCGTTATACCACATGACAAACAACTCAAAAGGTTACTAATTCCCTTGTTTCCAGTTTAATTCTTTTAAAACTATTCATAAGATACAATACCTCCACATCTGGAAATGCCATAGTAATTCTGTTGGACAAACTTGCCATTCTAAATAGCCTCTCTTAGCTAAATTTAAATGGCATAAAATTGAAGCTAAACAATAATGTAGTGGATAGCCTTTGTAAGCTTGTTAGAACATCATGCTTGTTTGAATTGATTATCAGAGATATAAGTAACATCATGCTTGTTTGAATTGATTATCAGAGATATAAGTATTGGAACTGAGAGGGAAATAGAGTGGACGGATTCATGGAATAATGAGAATCAATAACTGGTGAAGCTTGATTTATCATGTTGTTTGCTGACATCGGATAATGCCATCAAACTCGAGACTAATGCTTCTTAGATTTGTGGTGTTCATAAGTTTAAACTTGCACAAACTCCACTCATGCAAGCTGGTATGACTGCTTTAGCATCAGTACACAAGAATCCAAATTCTTGCTGAAAAGTGCTTAATTTGAGCAAATATCAACTCATCCTTCTTGGCATACCCACTGCTCTTCAAGATTTAACCGACATGAACACCACAAATGTCAACTCAACCTTCTTGGCATACTCACTTATCCTACTATGCCTTACAACACGAGTGAAAAAAATCTTGATTCCATGGTCAAACCAAAACACGAGGAAGTCAACACGAGTTCTTCTTGGTCAATACCGATTTTACCAATCTCGAAAATGCAGATAGTGAAGATGACAATGAGATAAATGCATCTGATGAAAAGAATAGAAAGAAATTAAGTGAAACATGAAGAGTGTAAGGATGATATTATAGCGCAAAAGATCAACTTACAATTCAAAAAGAACTTCAAAGAGTCAGGTGTTTATAGGTAAAGGGTGGGGAAGATGTCAACCGGAAAGGAAAATAAGAATAATTTGGAACTTTATGGAATAATTTCTGATTATGGAAGCAATAGTGACTACATGCAAGAAACACACTGTGAGCGTTTGAAATTGCAACATGAAATACAAAGGTCAAAAGGTGTTCGGAAGTCGGTAAGGCTACCTTGTATCCTCACGGTTGAAAAGCAAGTCACATCATCATCTAATCATTCCATAACCATTTCACAAGGCTACCCTGGGCGAAGATGCTTAATTATGCCCGTTTATTTGTACCAATCCTATATAAATTTATGTTTATAAAAAACAATTATTAAGAAGTTAGATTAAAGTCACAAACAATAGTCCACAAATATGATTATTGGACAGGATATTTGGTATAATTTAAGAGTTCCCTTTTTCTAGTTCTAGCCTAGAACCATTCATCAATACTTTCCTAGATGTCCATATAAAGAATATGGATCTTCAATCACCACAATCTCATTTATTTAAGAAACTTAAATAAAAACAATAATTTTGTATTTCACTGAATTACCATCATTTTACATTGGGTTCTTCTATCTTCACCTTTGTTTGTAAATTTTCCGTTTGCAACTGTTTTGTCAATAAACAACAGTTGTGGATTTCACAATTGCTTGACTTGAACATAAGCAATCATTCTTTCAGCAATTTGTATCAGTAAAAGATTCCCCTGAATGTTCAACAATCAACAACTTTGTCTTATGCTACTAAAAATCTGCAAAAACAACAATCAAGTTTCTCAATTGGAAGCCCAAACAAAAGCTATAACTTGGGGAAGGCTGATTGAATATTTTTCAAACAAAAGCTAGTGATTGTATACATCAAATTACTGTTGACAAAATAAAATCAATAATTAACACCTGTCATAACTTGGGGAAGGCTGATTGAATATTTTTCATGTTTCAAGTACAAGATGAACATTAACCCAACTTTTACTAGGTTTTAGACTTCACATACACAAATTCATCATTCTATGATATGCCAATTCTAGACTTCACATACATACATGTGCTTAAAGAGAACTCAAGTAAAGAAATAAAGGGATCAAGAGAAATTGACATTAATCAAGATAAAGGAAATATATCCGGGCAGTTTTTATCAACATAAATTCGATTGGAGAATAGAAATCGAGTTCAATAAAAGAAACCAATTTGTAATCGACATTGATCCGGACAAACGAAATAAATCCTCAAAAATTAGTGATATTTTTCCTTCAATCCTTCCTTCTGAGATAGATAGAGAATAAGAAGTGGAAGATTGAAGAGTCGACTTTAAGCCTTCGACTCTAAATCTTGCGGATGAAGGCTGTCGAACGGAAGAAAAAAGAATTAGAGAAAAATTGAGTATATAAGAAAAAGTGTGTGCTTAGAAGCACTTCCTATGCGACTAGATTTTATACAGTTTCCCCGTCTCCTCGGCTTCTCCCCATCTCTTCGTCATTAATTGTCGCCTTCACTTTTCAAGTTTTCATCCCTTTTTGTTCGCGCTTCCCTTAAATCCCACCTAGGTGGACTGGATTTCTGTTACTGTATTAGAACGTTTGGCCCAAAAAAAATATATCTATAACAACTTAATAAAATTTGTCGCCCTCATATGAAATGATGCCCTGGCCTATGGCCCAGCTCGCCCAGCCCTTGGGCCGGCCCTGATGGTGTTCACTAGTAAAGAAGAGAAAGAAAGAGAAAAAAAGAGTGGTGAGAGAGAGAGCAAAGCCATCCATGAAGGCTGGTGGAAACCCCCACTCCACAAGAGAACCATTAGATCTTGGGACGGTGTTCACCAGTGGACCCCTCCACATCACCTTCTACATGTGAAATGGTGCCCATACCGAGTAGCCTAATACCTATAAACAATTCGATGAGCCTAATGTAGAGACCTTGGTCAATACTGCAGCTATAAGGGTAGTAGACTCAATGGAAGCATGCTCCTTCCACTCTAACGAAGTTGAACTAGATAATTATTTTTGTCAAAATGACAAAAGCGCTCATGACGAAGGAAAAATGAAACAATGGCTAATTCCACGATATCAAGGTCCAATCAAAGAAGCAACATGGGCTGACACCTTGCAAACGTAAACTTGGTAGCTAACTTTCAGCTTGACACTACAAGAAAAATGTTAATTAGTGACGAAAACGAAATGGTCACTAACAATAGAAGGACTCGTCACTAAACGATTTAGTGACCAAAATTTTGGTCGTCACTTTTCGTCACTATAGGTCCGTCACAAAAATCTATTAGTGACCAAAATGTCAAAGTAGTCACTAAATAGTGACTAAAACATAATGGTCACTAAATCTATGACGACCCAATTCGTCACTAAATGTTGTCACTAAACAATGAAAGTCGTCACTGATTTATCCGATTAGTGACCATAGAAAGTTGTCACTGGTTTATTCAATTAATGAACATAAAAAGTCGTCACTAATTTTTCCAATTAGTGACCATAAAAAATCGTCACTAATTTATCCAATTATTTACCAAAAAAACTCGGTCATTGATTTTTATTGCTATTTCTTGTATTTAATCCATTTCCAAATTGATTTGTCAATTAGGAAGAAGAATACAACTGCCATTGAATCTACAAATAATAATACACTACTATAATTTTTGTTTATATTTAACTTAATATATTCATTGGGTAACAAATTAATGCTAACAAGAAATTCCCTTATGGAAACAAATTTTATTGGTCCTCACAAAACTCAAGCATTTCATCAACATCTCTTCGCCTGCCATCTGGACCAAGATTACATTGATAATCATGAGGAGTTTCATATGTGAAGCATGTAAAGAGCAACATGTAAGGCATATTTGCATAACTCATATTACCATTATAAGATATATTTATACATTTATGCAATATCGTTATGTACGGAAATCAAGAGATATAAACTCGCCACAAAAGTTACAGGCTTCCGCGATCAGCCACCTTCACCAAAATCCATTATCTTGAAAATAAGACACATTTTGAGACCATATTGAAATGATTATATTACAATTTCAAAAATTTCAAGCAAACTAGTATTTTCCAGTCTTACTTAGATAAGCTGCTCGGATGGATGTGGAGGGCCAAAAGACATTATCAAAAGACATAAATTAGAACAAATACTTCCATAATCATATCCATCAAGAGGTTTTAGTGCTAACCAACAATATAAATGATTCTTGTATCGTTTATATTTAATTACTTTTTTAACTGTAACAACTTCTCCAGTTTTTAAGCATTTGGCCTGCACAAGAGGGTAAAACAATAATTCCACTACATCTCTGTTTCCAGAGTTGTTGCTTAAAGACTCAAAGTATTACCTGAAACATAATTCCAAATGAATCTTGGCCAACCACGTGCTCTGCCATATAGCTTATTGTCTGAAAGATAAAATGTAACCAAATATCATATCGTTCATTTAATACAAATACAAAAACTGATTGATAAATGATAATTACCTGTTTGGGTTGACCACCATACCCTTCATTTTAAACCTGAGAACAATAATAGTTGTATCTTAAAATGTAGTCTCCTGATCAGATGAGATGACAGTTAAAAGTAAACCATGATAGATAGGAAGGAGTATTATATGTTAAGTGTAAAAAAGACTGTTGTGGGCCAAAAAATCGCAACTTTCTTAATAGTTCTCAAGTGAGTTTTCCCACTAAAATAACAAGTGCTACATCAAAAATTAATATGTGAGTTGATGATGCAAGTATGCAACTCCCAATTTCAAAACACAAATTACCTACATGGCAACTGGAAAATCATCTTGAAAGTGGGGAGGAAAGAAAAAGTCTGCTTGCTTCAAGTGAATGAGGGTTTTCCTTCATGTAAAGAAACAGGAAGCATTAGCTTTCATAAATAAGAAACCCCAAATTGATGAAAACGAAAACAATATGTTAAGAGAATAAACCTGGTTCAGTGACATGAAGCTTTGAAGTAACTTGTCCAGGATTAGAGCTTTTGTTGCAAAATAAATAAGAATCAAAGGAGTCTCATTGTGAGTAAAATGTTGAAGGCATATAAATATGTGATTGTTACCAATGTACTTTGATAAAGGAAACAAAAAAGAACCCATTATAACTTATCTTTTGTACTTTGAAAGAGCAAATATGTTGCATGTGCTTCAAGAGCTTTACTTCACTGCTGATCAAATGAAAAAGCTACTCAAATCAGAATGGTATGAGGGTATTATTAAAACTCAGGAATTTACCATATGTGCTGCTATATGCTAATATGTTATACTATCAAATAGTCAAATAGAAACCTATGGTGAGCTAGGGGCAATTCCAATTAACACCAGCCATTTCTTAAATGGATCACATCTGTAGTTGATTATCTGATTGTTTGATAGATTAGCTGTTCTGTCAAACATCTTTGGAGGTTCAGAATCACCTATAAGAAAAAGAATGCATCAGGTTTCATAAAATATAACCTGATAACTTCGAAAGAAAATAGGAATTGTATGGAAAATAAAGGAAAAGAGTAAAAAAAGAAAGCACAAGGCATTTTATCATAAAGGCAAAGGAAAACAATAAGTTTTTCACCAAAAGTATGTTGGCCGAGCTCATGGTACCATTCAAATATTTTTCCTGAAAACATTTCGTGCATTTCTACCATTTGCCTTAGTGTGTCCAGTGTAATCACCCATTGTATGACTAGCACTGTTATTCCAAAGCCCCTGAATCAAACAGATCGAATATTATGATAGTGAATTTTGTGTGGGGATTTTCATCGAACATCTTGCGTGCATCGTTTACACCAAAAAAGTAGCTTATAGAAAAGCCTACTGACTTGAATATTGGAAGAAGAATCATAATTTGTAATAACGGTAGAACGAAAATGTAATTTCACAAGTTTGAAATCGCTATCTTAGTTAATCAATCAATCGACAATAACCTTTCACGCTTTTAAAAACAGAGCAAGAGTAGATACATAGAAAGGGGGGTGTGAGACCGGAGACATACCTAGGTGATTCAACAGGAGGGGGTGGAGCGCGTTGGTGAACCGGAGAGAGAGGTGCTGAACTGCCAGAGACATGTGTGTATCCGTCGATTGAAGGCTGTGTGTGTCAACGTTGGCGAGAACTATTGTTGCGTAACTTAACGTCGATTTAGGGGTGTACTTACCATTTAACAATTATATAATTCCATTAAGTACACATACATATTTCATACATATGATTTTTTTTATAAATAACCTTTACTTTTAAAAAAGATTAAAAGTTTGACTTAAACCTACTAGTCAATTTATATATAAAAATTAAAACGAAAATAATTAAATGTTCATCTGTTTATTTTTAACAACCAATAATATGCATAGGTTTTGGATTTTATTAAATGGAATATTTATATATAAGTTAAAGACGTTTACCAAATTATATATATATATATATATATATATATATATATATATATATATATATATATATATATATATATATATATATATATATATATTGACCACTATTTTTTGTCACTAAATAATTTACATGTTATAATTCAGTGACCCCTATTATGTCAGTCACTGTGTGGGTTTGAAAAACGAATAGTGACCGCTTAGTGACAACCATCGTAGATTTGGTCACTGAATTTGTACCACTACCAAAATTCAGTGACGACTTTATGCATGGTGACTAAAGGATGCAGTTAGTGACCAGATTCGCGGTCGTCACAAAAAAATTGGTCAGTAAAAAGGAATTTTTTTTGTAGTGAGGAGAAGCCTCTACTTCAATTCGGCAATCTTGATAGAGGTAATATTGATATAGAGTGAGACTTATATAAATATACAGACAAACAGGGACGGACCTAAATGGAATATTTTTCATTTTATGTTTTACATCGATCTCATTATAGAGTCCTCCTTAACTAACTATAAATAACAAGAGTCGTAGGAATAGTGGGTATTCATCGAGTATTTTGCATAGTTTTAGTCATCGACAATAGCTTGGGCAGGGGGTTTTTCTCTTTGGAGTACCTTTTTGATTTTCTTAACTGATTAGGGCAAGGAGAACCATTTGGTTCTTCACTGGTTCTCTTCTCTTTTATTCCAATTTGTAACAAACAACTTATTTGGTTTATATTTTCAGTATTTTGATTTAATTACATCATTTAAATCCTATCAAAGTCTATCTTTACAACCAACATGTCAAAAAAAGTAAATCACTAGTCTGTTCAAAGAACAAATTTGTCTATTCTCTTTTGAGATCTAGCATTCACAGTAAAGATTGAAGTTTCACATAATTATCAAGTCCCATACAGAAACCAAACCGAGTTAAGTAGATGGTGGTGGTTCCTCATTATTTTCCGGAGGAGGTGGTGGTGCACTTGGTGCACTTGAAAAGTTGCGTGGCTTCGCCGGACTATACCTTTTAAGCAGCCTGACCTTGTTTTCCTTCCACCATTCTACTGCCTGCTGCTCTGCAAACCTCCTTTTACTACACAAATATTGGAGAAAATTTGGATTAAGTTCATATTATGGACTAGGTTAGATCCTCTATTTATATATGCGTACAACTGACTGGATCTTTCTGTTCAAGTACCTGAATCTAACTCGCTTGAATATTTTGGTACCATCTGGAAGTTGGAGTAGGGTTACATAAACACCAGATTCAAATTGTTCAATAACTTCATTGACTCCCTCACTCTTTACATGCTTATGTACTCTTGAACTACCTTCTATGCTTTTCTGACTTGCTGTGTTATTACTAATTGAAGCTTCATCGTTTTCTTGTGACGGAATGTCAGCATTTTGTGATGTATCTTGGGATCCATCAACATTCTGTGTCGACTGATTGGGATCCTGAAGATCTTCGTTTTCATCGATTTTATGATATTTTTTTCTTGTGACTTTACTGGTAGTACGACTTGCTTCAGGCTGATCTGATTGCGAGCAAGAACAACTTGAGGAGGATGTATCACTTCCATGGGTTTTGATGTAGTTATTGACTTTATCTGTCAAGGCTTTGAAGGTTTCATCATCGGAGATTTCAGGTGGCAGTTTTTCTGTCAGTTCGTTTAACTGATAGAATACAGTAAAATAGTTACAAGCTCATTATCACAATTGTTCATCTTTGTTGATTACCAAAATTCAGTACTATTTGTCTTCGAACTCTTTTGCTAGATCGAAAAACAATATGGTTTTTTAAAACTTTTAAACAGTATATATATTATATGCATTTAATAGATAAATTTCTTAATTCAGTAGTTTATATGGCCTTCAAAGTAAAATTAAATCCTCTTTTCCTCCCCAATGATGCGTAAAGAAGTACAGAAGTTGGTGCACAGAGGGAGAGGCAAAAAATTGGAAATAGATATGATATTTGCAGTACCTGAGTTGTGATGCATTTGAAGACATCCACAGCGATGGTGCGTTTGGCAGCTTTTGCTGCAGTTAATGACTCAGCATGTTTAGTATCATTCCGCAACTTTCTAATATCTGCATCTTGCTTTTCACTTTTTTGCTTCAAATGTTTCACCTACCATGCATAAATCTCAATATAATTTAATTCAATTATGCATGCAAACACACATAAGAAAATGTTAGTAAAAGAAGATCCAGTACATGGTTTTGCAATTTCGACACTTCTTGGCTTAAAACATCATTTGACTTCTTAAAACCATCGATCACACCCCTCGAGAACATAGGAGCACCAGATTGTGGAGAATTAGATCTTCTTGGACGTGGTGGAAACTGTGAACCAGATCTCAAAGCATTCTGATGAGCACTTAGTGAACTTGGAAATGCAACATCCTTTAAACTCTGAAACGCTGGAACTTGAGAAGTTCTTACAATAGAATAAGAATCAGATTTTGATCCATATTTCCCTGATTTCACTTCATGGTATTTAACCGGTTCCATAGTGGGGGAAATCAGAACCCTTGAAGTCCTCAACCTACTCCCATCCATGTGGTTTCGAGTGCTAAGTCTCTTGTTGAAATTAGCGACATTATTATTATTACTATTATTATTATTATTACCACATTCAGCGGCTTTTGCAAGCTTTGCATAACAAGAATCACAAACACGATGAGGCTTTCCTGGAATCGGAGCCAATGCTGCTCTCAAAGCCTTTCGGGAGCTACAACCATGACAATACACAAGCCCACAATTGAAACAATTACGTCTCATTCTTGTAAAACCAAATGCTTGTCTACATCCAGAACAAACTGATTGGTCTGCTCCAGATACAGCCCACTTATGAACGCATATACTCGCAGTATAACTCGCACCACATGCCACACTTTTCACAATCCTATCTTTAAATGATTCAACCAAAGTTGGTGTGTTTCGATCTTCAATGTCCCCATGTCCTAGTCTTCCATTTTCACCTTTTCCCCATGTGAATACTTCACTTCTTGATGTCAACACAGCAACATGGTATGCTCCACATGCAATTTCTTCAACAAATTCACCTACTAATTTATCTTGCACCATGCAAGGAGATTTTCCATTAGCTTGTGGGTTACCGAGTTGACCATGTGCAGGACTACCCATAGTGAAGACATGACCTGATGTTGTAAGGCCTACAGTCATAGTATGTCCACATGCTAATTGATGGAAGTTATAATCAATTAAAGCTGCTATACATGTTGGTTCTGTATAAGATTCTTTGCTTTCGTGACCTAATCGATATTTATCACCATCGCCCCATGTGAATAGCTTTTTAGACGTAGAGTGTCCAGTTTGATTGTTTATAATCTCCACAATTGCTGCAGTATGCCATACACCACATGCAACTTTTATAGTCTTGAGTCCACTTAAAGATGCAACCTCTTTTGGGAAATGTACACTCTCGCGATCTCCATGTCCCAAAGCACCAAAGGTCCCATCACCGAATGTGAATAGCTTTCCATCGATGGTTGATAAGGCTGAATGAAAATTTCCACAAGCAACCGATGTGACTTGAGTTCCTTCTAAAGGTCCAGAAACTCGTTTTGGAATCCAGTGGCTGACATCAGTTCCATGACCAAGAAGTCCAGCATTGTGGGACCCATCTCCCCACGTGTATAGATCTCCAGAATTAGATACAGCACATGTGTGAAACTCACCACATGCAACTGAGTCAATGTTGGAGACCGAAAGGAATTCTACAAGGCGAGGGCGACCATGATGTCGGTCTGTTCCATGACCAAGCCTACCTCCGGATTCCTCTCCACAAGTGAAAATCTCACCTTGTTTTGTTAGAAGTGAAATGTGTTGAACACCACAAGCAATTTTTTGTACGTCTATGACTACATTTGACTCCAATGGTTTAGGAGTTAGGACATCATTTTTACCATTTGCAGATTGATTGTTACAAGTTCCATCACAACAAACCTTTCCCCAAAGGTAAACATCTCCTAATGATTCTATGTCATCAGGTCCAGAAGTAGGATTTGAACAACTAGGAGTGCTTGAAACACTAATCCTGTTATAACCATCTGCACAGCTTGTTCTTAGTTGCATGTTTGTGTGTTCAGATGCCACATCTAAGAAAGTGAACAACTAGGATGCCAACTTTGACTTGAGTCGCTACTATAGCGTCGTGAAACTGTAGTACGAAAAAGTAGAAAACTAATTTAGAGGTTGCACACATTACACAAAATGTAAAGATATGAAAACATGAAATTATTAAATTATTCCTCTTTTATCATTTTTTTCTTTTTTATTGTATGGAATAAATTTTATATTTTAGAGCAAACAGTATTAGAGCCATGCTTATAGATAAAACAAGGATTTGTTCCACTAGGTGATTGAAGACTTATGTTACTATTATTATATACTCCATCTGTTCTAGAAAAGAAGAACACTTTGCTAAACATTCAAATATAGAGAAGAATTTGCACCATCTCTATCTATAAGATCACTACAACTCGTAGCATAGAATTTTGTGTGTTATAGCAATAATAACTTTCGGACGTTGCTTGGAACATGTATAGATGATAAATATTTTTCTATGGAAATTAGTATAATTTATGAATTGATTATAACTCATATGCGTTTCAAGTAGGAAATGAATATACAATATGTGTAGGCTATGGGCTTGAATAAATTAACGATATCAATAAAGCACTTCTTACTTCAAAAAATCATTTTTTTTTTCTTTTAACTAGGAAATGGAAAATAAAAATAATGTGGCAATATTTTTGAA